AGGTTTTTCCTTCATTTCTTATGATCTTCTGCTTCTCCCACAGCTGGCTATGGGAGCCTAGAATCCCAGCTCTCAAAATGTATAGGCAGGAGGATCAGGAGATCAAGGTCAGCATCAGCCTGGACTACAGGAGACCTTATCCCACTCACACAACAAAAATGGCTTACCCAACATTGAAGATTATATACCCGTTTTCTCTGAACACTTTCTGCAGATCTTGTTCTCTCACTACTTTTCTGAAACTCTATAACATCTTGAAGTACATTTTTATTTCATTTATTTTATTATGTTCTTGATGAGTGAAACTGCAATGTGTCACTTTGTGTGACTTGTGTGGTGTCCTCTTTGCAGTTACTTTGGTCTGTTTCCTTCTTCATTTGTTGCAATTCCTGCATACATGCAATTTACCTGTTTCCTGGAACTTACTGAGCGCCGCTCTCTGTGCCAGGCACCTTTGCCTCTATAAAGTTTGTACTGCAGTGATGAAACAGATGAGTGTGACAGGGAGTGGTGGTGAGGAGAACCCAGATAAAAACTAGAAGGCAGGGGACACTTTGAGTGATTCTCAGCATGTGGACTGTAACCCCCACAGGGGTCACATATCAGATATTTACTGCACAATTCATAACAGTAGCAAAATTACAGTTATAAAGTAGCAACAAAATAATTTTAAGGTTGGGGATCACCACAACATGAGGAGCTGTATTAAAGGGTTACAGCATTAGGAAGGCTGAGAACCACTGCTTTAGACAGAGTCGTTAGAAGGCTATAAATCTTAATTTGAGAAGAGAACTGAATACAGAGAGCTAGTGAACTAGGCAAAGACCCAGGCAACTTAGATACTGAGCATAGCTTCTGCAAAGGCCCAGGGGAGAGCACTGTGTTCAAGACAGAGGGAGAACAGGCCAAGTGTCTTGCTCAGTGGTAGAGAGCTTACTTAGCATGGATATAAGCCTGGTTCCAGTCTCATAACAACAATATTTTTTTAAAAAGTCAAATGAATTATAAGGGAAAAGATGGGATATGAGACTAGGGAAATAGGTTTAATCACAAAAATTGTAGGCCATAGAAAAGTTTAGGTTTTGTTCTAAATGTGAGAAGCATGTTGATGGGAGCTGCTAAATATTTCAAGAGCTGCCACAGAGTAGAAAGATTGTACCTTGCCAAGTAATATTGGCATATGCCTTTAATCCCAGCACCCAGGAGACAGGGCAGAGGCACATGAATCTATGTGTCTGAGGTCGGTCTGGTCTACGTAGTGAGTTCCAAGCCAGCCATGGCCACATAGTGTGAGGCCCTATTTCAGGGCAAGGGAATGGAGGAAGGAGAAGGATTTGGCCAAACAGGTATAGGATTGAAAAAGAAAAACATTAAAGTAAGAGTAACCTCTGTTAGCAGCTACTGCTCTTGCTACTGGGAAAAAGGGGAGGGACAATAACTGGGAGAGCTGGGAGGGGGACGTGCTTGCCACTTGCTGCCCCTGTACTTAAGAGGTAGCTGGGGTGGTGTTTGGGGACTGGAAATGAAGCAATGCTTTTAGGTTCTTTCTGCTGTCTGACTTTCCCCCTCCTCTCCTTATTCATCATTGATGGGACATAGAAAGAGTTCAGTTGGGGAAGTAGGAGAAGATTTTTCAGAGCAGCCGCCATAGCAGCACAGAAGCAGGCTCTACGAGGGCTGACCGCTGAGAAGGGACATGAGCTGGCACAAGGAGGATGATGCTGATTTCAAGTTTAAATTTGTTTTATAATGACATTTTATTTTTTAAATTAGTTTTTAAGTCTATGTGTGAGTATATTTGGGTGCCCATGGAGGTCAGAAGATGGTGTCAGAGTCCCTGAAGCCCGGAATACAGTGTGAGTGCTGGGAACAGAACCCCCAGTCCTCTGGAAGAACAGCGAGTGTTTAACCACTGAGCCACCTCTCCAGCCTTTGTTTTAGGGTTTTTATAGTGAGTAGCATTTCACCATTGTTACTATAAACACACAAACTGCCTTTACACTCCTTGGTGCTTGTCCACAATAAAACCCATGAGCAATGAGAGTCAGTGTGGCTAAGTGCATTACACCCCTCCTGGAAGGAATGTTTACACATACCCACAGCCTCTAAACTGGAAATACATTCATGTGTTATAATATAAATGGTACTCACAAAATTGTGTGCTATAAGGACACTGAATATATTTTATATATTATATTTGTTTCTTCCTGAAGAAAACCAATAGTTCAACAAGGAGTTTTGAAGGCACTTCTTCACTTAGCCTTTTAAAATTGAATGCTCCAAGACTTCCTTGGGGTCTTCTGTTTTAGTATGTTGGAAGGAAAGTTTTGAAGGTTGTTTGTTTTTTTGTTTTTTTTTTTAGACAGGTCTCATGTAACCCAGACTGACCTAGAATTTATATAGCCGAAGATGACTTGGAACTCCCTGACTACCTAGAGGTGTTAGTGATCAAGCCCAAGGCTTTGAGCATACTAGGTAACCACTGTCCCAACTGAGCTACACTCACAGCCCAGAAGGAAAGTCTCTTAGGGGGGTGGGTCTCAAAATAACAGACAACATTCCATGCACTCCACTGGCTATAATTTAGTCAAATAATGACTATACCTAACAGGGAAAATAACATATGATGGTTCTCTATATGGCCAAAAGTGAGAACATGACTTTTGATGTCTAGCTCAGAACTGTTATTTGCTTTGGTGTTCACCACCGCCACTACCAGTACACAAATTCTCAACTGGGAAGTGGCTACCAAAAAAAAATCCTCAAACTATGCTGCAACTGAGGTTTTAATAGTATTGCATGGCCAAACTTCTGAAATTATAAACAGGAAGTCTGCTATATAAATGTCGGTAAAAGAAAGCATTGTAGCTGAGGTTTTATCTTCTCCATAATTTCATGCTGATGTGTGCTTCGGTGTGCACTAGAAGGGACGTAGAATGACGGCAGCACTCTGACAGCGTGGCACACGGGGAAGACCTGTGCACACCCTGCATGCTGGCACTCTGACAGTGGACCAAGAGGCTATGACTAATAGAACTGCTGTTCCGGCGCCACCACTAGAACCCGCGTCAGTATTTGCTGCCTGACTCTAGTGTTGTTGGAAGACAGTGGGTGGTGAGGGGGCCAGAGAACGACTTACTCTTACTTTAGCTATTTGAAAAGCTATTGTAGAAAATATGAGTTACACTTTTATGGTCTTATTCTGACGCCTCAGCAACCCTCTGGCTGTGTACTACCGCATTGATTCCTTCACGAGGCAACAAGGAATAGTTTAAGTACTGCAGAGATCCAGGGTAATTTTTCCTGCTTCTCTGTAAAGAATAAACTAGGGATTTTCCTAAAGCTAATTATTCATATTAACTATGTAATATGATTCCCATAAAAATTTCTATGAAAATGCCAAGACTTAAATGACTAGTGTACAGTTTTTATATTACTTTGTTTCTGAAACATTTTTACCAACATATAAATGATTTTATAACTTCATATGCTTTTCTTTAGGAAACTTTCTTGTTTTTAAGCTGAACATTGAGGGAGCAATTTATTAAAAATCATACATAATATTAATAATATAACAAAAACTATAGAATCTTTGTATCTAAGTTCCCTTGAAAGACCACAGACTTGGAAAACATCTTAGAAGACAAAAAGGCAGCCTGTTTTTGTCTATTGATAGTGTCTACTTCTTTTTTTAAGAGAGGATCTCACATAGCCCAGACTGGCCTCGAACTCATAATGTAGGCAAGGCTGGATGTAAACTGGTCTGCTTGCCTATACCACCTGAGTGCTAAGATTACAGGTAGCACCACCACCATCAATGTCAGTGTCCACTTTTCTGCCACACACACAACATTAAAGCACACAATGCATATGATACTTGAAGTACTGTTTTTTAATATAACTATATAGAGTAGATAGGTATATAAGAAAAGTTCATGCGTGTAAAATGAAATAAAAGCTATAAATAGAATGTGTAATGTGAAAATGAAGTAAAAGCTCTAAATAATTGCTAACAGTGTATAATATGAAGTGACTGAAAACTGAAATTTACTAGGATCGGAAAATATAGGGAAGAGGAAAAGGGCTTTTCTGTTAGATAAGGTGTCATTATATAGATCCATAGCTACCTCAAACTCATAATCTTCTCACTTTAGCCTTTCATGAGCAAACAACCACACCCAATTCAGGCAGACTTATATAAGTAATACAGTGTGTATATGTGTGTGTCTAATCTTAAAGCAGTGATGGACCTGGATTACCAGAGAAAAAAGATAATCAGATTTATTTATTTTTCAAGACAGGGTTTCTCTATAGCTTTGGGGCCTGTCCTGGAACTAGCTCTTATAGACCAGGCTGGTCTCAAACTCACAGAGATCCGCCTGCCTCTGCCTCCCGAGTGCAGGATTAAAGGCATGTGCTACCACTACCCGGCAATAATCAGATTTATTGACTGGCTTGCTCAGTATATGTTCAACACACTAGACAGCAATGAACAAAACTGCTGAGGAGGAAGAAAGTAGTTATCTCCCAAGCATTCTGAAAGGCATAAATACTGGAAGTTAGGCACAGTAGCTCACATCCATAATCCCAACACTCAGAAGACTAACAGAGGAAGAACAAGAGTTTGAGGCTAGCCTGGGCTGTATAAAGAGTTGGAGGCCAGCTGGCTGTTCTGCTTTCTTTCCTGGTGTTGTCACTGAAGGAAAAAGACATTATCATACTTACTCACTTTTTCCAGTGAAGCAGGTTTTCCTTATGTGCCCAACTACACATCCCTCGGGTATCTGATTAAAGCGTTTTCTGCCTGTACTGGTTGAAGGAGAAAGAGGTATAGTGAGGTAAGGCTCAAGGGTTGGTACCAAGGGGCAAGAGGCTGTTAGGAAGAGGTAACTAAAAGGAGAAACAAGTTTAGTGATGGCTTATCTTTATCCATGGGAGGGAAAGAAAATAATAAAATCAACAAAGATTGTAACCTTGGTGTAAAATTTTGTCATCAACAGTTGAAAAATTAGAAGAGATATCCTGACGTGGCGTGAGGAAGAGGAGAGAGAGAGGAGAGAGAACAGTGATGGTAAGCTATCAGACCTTTTGATAAACATATGAAAGTTACTGTAATAGAAAAACTGGAATTCCAGGAATTGAAGAGGGGATCGAATGAGCATCAAGTGGCTCATTATGAACTTTGATTGTAAGATTATCAGTTTCAGACTAATTGCATGCATACCACATGGTTCCCAATCACAGTATTCTAAAACAAGCAAACTAAAATCTATAGTCAGCTGAGCAATGATGCCCGAGGAGAGGGGTGGGAGGGGAAAGATTATGAAGAGGTTGGGAACGCTCAGGGATGATGGATTCCATCAGTTTTATTTCATTTTCTTGACTGACTTTGAGTAAGAACAGATACTTTGTATCATTCCTGATCTTAGAGGGGAAGCATCTTTAGATAGGTCTTTGTGACAGACTTTGTAGAGGTCTTTGTGTCTGAAGAAGTACCTGTCCATGTTAGTTTGCTTTCCAGTACTGTGACAGAATACCTGAAAATTCCAACTTAAAAGGCATAGGTCCACACCTTTAATCCCAGCACTGGGGATGCAGAGGCAGGCAGATCTCTGTGAGTTTGAGGCCAGCCTGGTCTACAGAGTGAGTTCCAGGACAGCCAAAGCTACACTGAGAAACCCTGCCTCTACAATAAACCAAAAAACCAAAGAAGAAAGAAAGAAAGGAAGGAAGGAAGGAAGGAAGGAAGGAAGGAAGGAAGGAAGGAAGGAAGGAAGGAAGGCAGGCAGGCAGGCATAAGGCCTTTATTTGGCTCATGGTTTCAAAGGGTTCAGTTGGTGGTAATTTGACCCTGACCCTTCGGGTCTATAGTAACACAGTGTACCAGGACAGAAGTGTACAAGTTCCATCCACCTCAGGAAGCAAAGAGAGAGGGGGGAAAAAAACCCTTTCTGGGCATGCCTTCATGGGCTCTACTACCTCCCAGCTGTCCCACAAGCTGCAGATCATACCTGTATCACATAGGCCTTTGTGGATGCTGTATGGGTTCAGAGTACATTATTAGTCGCCTGAGAGGCGGTGTCTTAAAGGTCCTAGGATTTTGTCTTCCTGTTGAGGTAATCAGATTTTTTTTTTACTATGATGAATTTAATGTTTTTATGGTGTGCGTGCATGCATGTTAGGGTATACGCATGGAGGTCAGAGGACAACTTGTGGGGATCAGTTTTCTCCTACCACTTGGATCTTAGGGATTGAACTCAGGTCATCAAGTGAGCCATCTCATCAGCCCTGAATTTGTTAAACAAGCCATGTATTCGTAGGCTAAACATCAGCTAGTAAGAATACTACCCTTTGTAGAGATTGCTGAATTTGATTTTGTAATATTTTCTTTGGAATTATCACATCTGTATTCGTGAAAGAAACCAGCCTGGAATTCTTTTTTGTAATATCCTGATGTGGTTTGGGTGTCAGGATAATGCTAGCCTCAAAGAATAAACTAGCAAGTAACTTCCCCTTGCCAGTGTTCTAGAAGTTTGTGCATAATTGGTACATTTTAGCCTCAATGTTTGGAAAAATCCATGAATGTCTTTGTGGGAATGTTTTTAACTAGAAATTCGATTTTCACAAAATTCTTCAGGTTATCTCTGTCTTCTTGAATGATCTTCTAAATAACCATTTCAAGGAATCTAATTTCATCTAAGTTCTAGATCTACCTTCTAAAACTTTCTATAATATCCCTTGTGATTTAAACTACCATGAAGTTATAACAGAACACCTTAATCCTTTTTGCTCCTTTGAGAAGGGGTCTCCTGCAGCCAAGGCTGGCCTCCTGGGCCAGTGTGATTAACTTGTAACTTCTTGTCCTCAACCTCCCAAGTGTTGGGGTCATAGATAACCCCACCACACCACCACTCATATTGTCAATGCCTTTCTTCTTATTTTTTTCTAATCATGCTTGACTAAAAGTTTATCAATTCATTGATTAAAAAAAATCAGTGCTTCATTGACACAATTAACTGATTTTCCTTTTTCTTTGGGTGTATGTTTAACTTCGTTGCTTTAATAAGGTAGGAACCAAGTTCATTGTCTAACACAGGCATTTTATCTTTAAATGTCACGCTTCACAGTTTGCTTTAGTGAAATGCCACAAAATTTGTGTTTTTATCTTCATTCAGTTCAAAATGCAAAATGCCCCCTCCTCCCCCGAGACAGGGTTTCTCTATGTAGCTCTGGCTGTCCTGGAACTTACTCTGTAGATCAGGCTGGCCTCAAACTCAGAGATCTGCCTGCCTCTGCCTCCCAGGTGCCACCACTGCTGGGAAAAAAATGCCTTCCAATTTTACCCTGGGTTCTTCTTTAATCAGTAGGTTATCTAGAAGTATTTTAGTTCAAAATACTGAGATTTTCCATATAACTTTCTGTTACTGATTACTAATTTAATTCCATTGTGGTCAGAGAACATACTTCTCACTACTTAAATTACTTAAAATTTACCAAGACATGTTTTATGGCTTAGAATATAGGCTGGTAAATTTTTTCTATAAAGGTTAAATTGGTAAATATTTTAATTTTTATGGGACACAAAGACTCTGGCATATATTTTCTTTCTTTGTTAAAAAAAAACTTGAAAATATTAAGAGCCTTCTTTGTCCACATCCTATACAAAAACAGGCTGGAGAGGCTACTGTGCCGTAGTTTGGTGACTTTGTGTTTCACACGCCATTTTGAAGAGAATGTACCTTCTGCTATTGTTAGTAGTTGCTCCAGGAAAGTAAAAATTGTAATCCAGTTAGTAGTGTCAATTTAACTTGTTACATTTATACTTGCTCTAGCAATTTACTGAAGGAGATGTCAAAATCTGGCTGGGGATTTGGCACTACAGTGGTTCCATCAGTAAAGTACTTGCCCTATAAGGACAAGGAACTAAGTTGAGATCTCCAGAATTCACGCACAAAGGGCTAGAGAAATAGCTCAGTAGTTAAAAGCACTTAATGCTCTTGCAGAGGACCTGGGTTCAGTTCCTAGACCCCCCCCCCCACATCAGGTAGCTCATCACTACTAGGAACTCCAGTTGTAGGGGCTCTAAGGCCTTCTGGCTTCCTGAGCACCTGTACCCACACGGTGCACCGAAACTTACCAAAGCACATAAACATGTACACCATAAAAAATTAAAAATAGCTGGGCATACTGGAGGTGGAACAGGTAGATCCCCGAGGCTTACTGGCCACCAAGATCCCCCAAGTTAGCAAGCTGCAGATTCAGTGAGAGACTCTGTCTCAAAAACTAAGGTAGAGAGTAACGGAGGAAGACACCCAACATATACCCCCTGGCCTTCACACACACAAGCACACACCCACACAACATTGGCCACACCATTCATATTCATTCATTAATTCTCTCTCCTCCTCCCTCTCCCCCTCCCTCCTTCCCTCCCTCCCTCCCTTTTTCTGAGTCTCACTAGCTACTAGAATTCACTATGTAGACTAGGTTGGCCTCAAACTCACAGAGATCTGCCTGTCCCTATATCTCGAGTGTTGCGATTTAAGGCATGTGCCATAGTGCCTGGCTGTTCTTTATTTGTATTTGAGACAAGCTCTTACTGTGTTGTCAGGCTGACCTCAAATTCCTTGGCTCAAGTAACTCTTCTTGATTCAGCCTCCCTTCTAGCTCTACAGGTATGTGCCACTGTCTTTCCACTATTGTTATTTTCTTAAACATTTGTTTATTTGTATGTATGTGGGGATGAGCATTCCACAGTACACATGTGGAGGTCAGAGGGCAGCCCTCAGAAGTAGCTGTCTCCTTCTACCATGTGGGTTCTGTGATGAAACTCAGACTGTCAGGCTTCTCAGTAAGTGTCTTTATCCTCTGAGCCATCCTGTTGACCCCACTGTTAGTAGTTTTGTTTAAATATTGATTGCCTTAAAGGAGAATTAAATACTAAGAACAACTCTTATATGTCTGTGTCTTAGTTAGGGTTCCTATTGCTGTGATAAAACACCATAACTATAAACAGCTTGTGGGGAAAAGGGGTTATTTCATTGTACAGCTTGTAAGTCCATCACCAAGGGGAGCCATGGCAAGAACTCAAGGCAGGAATTGGAGCAGAAGCCATGAAGGAGTGCTGCTTACTGGCTTGCTCCTCCTGGCTTATTCAGTTTGTTTTCTTATACTTCCACGACCACCTGTTCAGGGTGGCACCCCCATAATGGGCTGGGCCCTCCCACATCAACCAAGAAAATGCCCTATCAACTTGCCTACAAGCCAATCCTATGAAGACATTTTCTTGATTAAGATTCTTTCTTCCCAGGTGACCCTACCTGTGTCAAGCTGAGACAAAAACTAGCTAGCACAGCCTACCAAGGTAGTTAACCATTTCTGTCTCTTTGTGTACATCTGCATGGTCCCACGCAGTGTCGTTCTCCTTTGTGTTTATGCCTGTGAAGGCTAGAGGTCTTTCCTGACTGCCCTCCACTTCCTTTGTTTTTCTGAGGCAGTGTCTCTCGCTGACTCCTTAGGCTGCTGGCCAGAGACCTCCAAGAACTGTGCCTGTCTATTTCCCTGCCCTAACCCCACTTCAGTGCTTAGGTTACACGTGTGAGCTACCATAACTGGCTTTTATGTGTGTCCTAGAGATCTCGGCTCTGTCCTTGACCCACAGGTACTTCACCAACTAGGCCATCTCCCAGCTCCCATTTTCCATATGTCTGAAGGACTTAAATATTTCTTTACTGTGGCCTACAATGAAGAGCTATCTTACATTGGCTATTTCTAAACACATCTTTATTTTGAAATACTCCTTTGGCTGAGAATTTTTCCTAGCTTTTTTCAAGATTTTATCACTGGTTTTAAACAATATGGTTATATGTGTTTTGGCTTAGTTTTCTTATTATTTTTGAGTATTTTGAATCTGTGCAGTAATAGTTTTCAGCAAATTCAAAGGTTTGGGCTAATAGTTTTCTTATTTCTCTTTTACCAGTGTATCTCATCTCCTTTCGTTGCTCCAATTACATGTATATGAGATCCCTGGAAATTTATTTCACAGCTCATTGATTCTCTTGTCATTGATGTATTTGCCAGGCGGTGTTGGTACACACTTTTAATCCCAGCACTTGGGCAGAGGCAGGCAGATCTCAGTGAGTTCGGGGCCAGCCTGGTCTACAAAGCAAGTTCCAGGATGGCCAGGACTGTTACACAGAGACACTCTCTCTCAAAACAAACAGACAAATTAATGTCTTTACCTTTCATTATTTTTTGTTTGTAACATTTTACTTTTAATTGTTTGGTTGGTTGGGTGGGTGGGTGGACTGACCTCTGACCTCAGAAGAGGTGTCAGATCACCTGGAGCTGGAGGCCCTAGACAGCTGTGAGCTGTCCCATGTGGAGGCTGGGAACCAAACTCAGGTCCCCGCTTCAGGGGCAGTACCCGCTCTGAACTGCTGAGCCACCTCTCTAGTCCCCAATTCTTTCACTGTGGATACTTTCTGTGGCGGGGCCTTCAAGTTTACTAGTCTTGTGCCACATCTAATTTGCCCTGAATCACATTTAGTTGAATTTTTCCATCCCAAACATTACAGTTTTCATCCCTCAATTTTTTAAAAAAATATGTTCTATATCTCTACTCTTCAAACACATGTCATTATTATAATACTGTTTTATGCCCCTTTCAGGGCACACATGTCCATATAAGGCCATTTTCATTTGATTGGGTGTTCTCCTCATTATGGGTCACTTTCTCAGCTTCATTATATATCCAGTAGTCTTTAATTAGATGCTAGGCATGTTGGTAGACATTCTTCTATTTCTATAAACATTTCTAAGCTTTATTCTGGGATGCAGTTACATGACTTAGAAAGGTTTGATCCTTTGGTCTTAATTTTATCAGAGTTCAGTCTACAGCTCACTGTGTAGGGAGGAATACAATGGCTGAATAAATGCAGCAAGGTAATCTTTTAAAGTTAGGATTTAGATAAGCAAACGGCTTGCTAACTGATCCTAGAACATATTTAATACCATTTCTGATTTTAAAAATGAAGAGAGACATCATTTCATTAAAAATTATGCTCTGAACCAACAAAAATAATTATACTCTGAAAATTTTAGGTATGAGAAATTTAGGGCACTGGACATTCCAGAAGTTCTTTGTGAGTGAAGGTGACTTTGGATTTAGAATTGCCCTGAAGCAGTGCATAAAATTGTGAATATAGTGTTAAAAATACAGACATGGGGAACAGACTTGACCATACACTGCAACTTAATCCTACCAAACTAAAATATGCAGAAGCCAGGAGAATTATATAGCTGCACTGGATACTGTCTCTTTTCCTGTTGCCTCACAGTCTCCAAGTGGTTTCAAAATGAATTGACTAGAAGGTGGAAAGGGGAAGGGGTAGGTGACATAGTTGTATTTTATTTAAAAATGTATAAAATTAAAAAAGAAAGCATGGTGACGCACACCTTTAATCCCAGCACTCAGGAGGCAAAAGCACACAGATCTCTCAGTTCGAGACCATCCTGGCAAAGCAAATTCCAGGACAACCAGGACAGCCAGTGCTACACAGAGAAACCCCTTTTCAAAGAAAAAAATTAATTAATTAAAGACATATAAAAAAGAAAAAATGAATCACCTGAGACAGTCACAACTCAGGGAGACTCTTGTAAGATCCTTGCTTGGTTCTATCTGCATGTGTGAGCTTATTAATACTAGAGTTCTATTGTTTTTGATTAAATATTAATAATAATGCTATCCTAAACAGATTCCAGTACTAAAATTAAATTCTACCTAACTCTTTCATGTGCACACAGCAGACCATTGAACGGGCACAAGCCAACAGAATTATTCTTAAGCCTATAGTTGATGGCAAATTCTAATGTTCTGAACAAAATCTAGTCTCTAACAAACTTGGGTCTACTCTTTCCCTCCCCTGAAATATTAGTTTCAGGGGATGCACACGTTGTATGAAGCTCTTTTGTTTTACTAAATCAAACATTTATCACAGGAGAATCTCTGTTTGGCCTACCAGTTGAAATTGAATCACCTCTACAGAGTAAAACAGGGTGACTGGGCTTAACCCTTCTCCTTTTTACATTTTCCTTTTAGAAATAATAAAAACCGGGCTGGCGGTGATGGCTCATGCCTTTAATCCCAACACTCGGGAGGCTGAGGCAGGTGGATCTCTGTGAGTTCCAGGACAGGCTCCAAAGCTACAGCAAAACCAGGTCTCAAAAAGCCACAGCTTAAAAAAAGAAGAAGAAATAGATAATAAAAACCCAGACTCTGCTGAATGGTTTTGTGACCCTATTCTTTCTTCTACCAACAAAAGAGGAATTTTTATTCTAGCCTTCTCACGTCCAATACCACATTTATGCCTCTTATTTTTTTTCTAAAATTATCCTGACTTGAGCTGAATGACTGATTTGCTAAGCATTAGGGACAAGAAAATTCTCATGTTCTGCTCTGTTCCTTGGGAAACACCCCAAGTTTTGTCTGTGTGTCTCCTATGGTAGTATGCTCAGTGTAAGGTCTACCCTCTTAACAGGCTTTTAAGTATACCAAAATGTTCTTAATGTATTAATTCTGAGAATTGGGGGTCTTTAAAAGTTACACTTCCCCCAAAAGAAGGAAAAAGAAAGGAAAGCCAAAAGGGGAAGGGAAGAGTTGGGGGAAAGGAAAGGGAAGAGACTAGTTATGCACTGGATGGTGTGAGTGGTTTGAGGAGGGTACAAAGAGTCTCTTATACCTGGAAAGACCCTCAGTGTGGTGCTTGAATCCATATTTTTACTACAGCGTTGCCATCATTTGTCAGCATGGGCCGCAGTCCCCCGATGTTACACTTGGACGTAAAGAATAAAGTTATTCCAGCCAGACAGTTTGCAAAGCAAGGTTGGGTGCTACAAGCCTGTAATCTCAGTGTTTAGGAAGCTGAGGCAGGGGGATGGTGATTTAGAGGCCAGCCTCCGCTACAGAGACCCCATCTCAAAATTCCTTATTCATAGACAGATGAAAAAAATGACTACTCCTTGGAAGGTGAGGTATGGCCCTAGTCACGTGAAGTCACTCTGTTTGCAGAGCACGACTGTCTTGTGCAGCTGTAATGATGAAGTGTGCGGTGATTCAAAGGGAGGCTTCTGAACACTCGTTCTGACTCTCAGTTTCTGTGACACGCTCATGTTCAGGGGAGATAGGCATCAATTATTCTACTCCACAGCCTTCTATAGATAGCCTGGCTAAGCTGTAAAGGAAACTAAAAGGGAATGTTATACAACCACAAAACGGCCTAGAACCTTGCCTCTAAGAGTCCAGCTTGGACCACCGCAGGGGTGGGGAATGGGACTGTTTCTGTGGACCCAGAGGATTAAAAGCCACTAGAGGAGGAAAAAAAAACACGGGGGCTCTTCTAAAATATCATGTTACACTCAGACTTTGGAAAAAACAGCATAATCACTATACTTAAACCAATGGAGCATTCGTGCTAAATTTAGGACAAAACCTAAAGCTAAAGAAAAGCTAGTCTGGGCCAGATTTTTAAGGCACCTTTTCACTCTCCTAGTAACCATACTTTTGCTTAAAAAACAAAAATAAAAATAAAAAAAAAAAACAACCATTTGAGGTGCAGTAGCCTTAATGACTACACAGACCTTTGCTGGATGGAGATGGAGAGCAATGATGGTTACTAACATTATGAATATATTTAACACCTCTAAACTGTATACTTAAAATGTGTTGGATTTATTTTTATGTTATACCTGTTACATACAGTCTTGTTTTCTGTCAGATTTATCTTGGTTTTTTTGTTTCTTTAAAATTAGGCGTACCATCTCTATCTATTTTCCTGACTTCACAGGGACTTAAGAGTTAATAGTATGGGGTCATCAGCTAACTAAACATCAACAGCAAAAATTTAAAGACCAAATTAAGATAGGGTTCTTATGAACATAAATAAATAAATAAATAAATAAATAAATAAATAAATAAATAAATAAATAGTGTTCCCTTAAAAGCTATAAACTCACCGGTTTGCATAAGTTTTTTCAGAGCTGTCTGTCTTTAATAGTCGCCCTAGTTTAAACAGTAGGGTTCTGACACATTCTATCTGATTCCTACTGGTCTGTTCTAACAAACCCTACACAGTGAGGATAGAAATGCAGCATTCGACTCAGCTGTCCTGACGAACTGGTCACGTTCTCAGCCATGGATCCCAGGAACCATAATTCCAATTTCACTTCTGTGTATTAAAAATCAATTAAGAAAGTCAAGCTCATAGACTCCTGATTTCCTGTCCTTCTCAACTCAGGACCAAATGCACCCCAAATCACTGAAATCTCTCGGTCAATCAGGTATAATCTGAAGTTTGCTACCCAACATAAAGTTTTACTCCCCCAATTAGTATTTTTACATTTATTAATTTTGTACATGTGTGCAGAGTGTGGGATAATGTATATGGGGATCAGGCCATCTGTTTGGGCAGCAAGCACCTTTATCCCCTCCACTCTTTTAGACATTATTTTTGCAAAAGTAGCAAGTAAGTTTATCCAGAGCAACAGGGTAAGACAGATTAAAACAGAGATGTCAACAAGATTGACGTGGGACTCATCAGTGAGAATACTCAAGGGCCTCAATTTTTTTTTAATAAGCTGTCAAGGACAGGTTCATTTTTATTATTTCTGAGTCTCTTTTATAATCTAAATTTACTTCCCAAAATCTAGGAATTTTACTAGATGGGACAAAAAGTGAATGCCAACTCCTGGTATATATTTCTAAACAAATATATAATTCTGGCTGTCGCCTTCTAAGAGGGGTCCTGTCAAATTAATCTAACCAGAAGAAAGCCTAGACTCTGAAGGGTTAAGTTATAAAACTACTAAGGAAGCATTAAAGAGCCTATTAAGGCTCCTCAGCAAGTGGGGACTCTGTTGTCATCAGCGCTGAAAGTAATAATGGTCACATTTAAAGAGCTGTTCCAAGTGGGACAAGTTTGTTCTTATAGCTTCGGGGGTACTTGGACAATAGGTGTGTTTTAACTCTAGGATTCTATGGTTCTAACCCTAAATAGGCTCAATTCCTTTTAGTAAGTTCTCAAGAAGTTTACGTTAAAGGGCAGAGTTTCAAAGCACTACATCTGCTGCTGCGTCATTCAAAGCCAGCACTTTCACACCCACTTTAGAAAGTAGGTAACTCAAGTAAAGGGGCTGTCCCCTTTTAGTTATCTGTACTGGTGGAGAGTTTAAAAAGTTAAATAGCTCTGACTCTCAGCTATTAATTGAAAATGAGTTGTACTACAGTCCATGGTGACTTGTGGTGAGGAACATGAAGGCAAAATGATGTGTACAGGAAAAGATGCGTGAGAAACTCTTAGCCCTGCACACTGAGCAGAGCTGGAGACGCTGTACAGGTGAGTTTGCACTTTGAGAAACTGGAGCTATAAATGATGCAAGGCTCATGTCCCAAGACAGAAATACACCTCCTGGCACATACATAAACACTCCTCCACACACATGTAGCTGAGTCTAATCACCTTTAGGAGTCAACATGACAAAAGGTAAGGTGTGCACACTGATCTTTCATGAAACAAATCCATTCAACTTGTACAATAAATCTACATCTAAACACTATGTTCTCATCATCTGGTCACTGATTAAAGCATATAGTTCTAAGTCTACAGAGACAGCTCACTTGGTGAAGTACTTGGCTTGAAGGCCGGAGGACATGAGCTCAACACCTAGAGCCCATATTTAAAAAAAAAAAAAAAAAAAGTTGGGCATGGTAGTGTGCAGCTGTAACCCAACACTTGGGAAGTGGAGGTAGGTACATCCCTGGGGCTAGTTTCAGACTCTAAAAGCAAAACAAACAAAACGGTGGACAGGGCCCAAAGAATGACACCCATTGTTGTCCTTGGGCCTCCACAGGTAAATTCACAACTTGCATCTGCCTCCACCACAGGACAAAACATATAATCCCATACCATATAAATATTCTCTAAGAAGGATTTCTTTCTAAGTACCATTAGCTACTATAGGGAACATAATATCTAACTTATTTGAACAAAGAAAATATCAACCTAAAGTAAATCTCAGATTTGAGTAGAATACATAGATGAATAAATTTACAGGAAAAACTCTCCACATTCCTACCAACAAATTACTATGTGATCTCTAGGTATATAATTTTGGTAGTAGACTAACTGCTATAATAGTTGTTCACTTGATACTTTATAGACCTTAAAAAAAGCAATTTTAAAATAACCCTATGAATTTTTTTCTAAACAAGTACAGCAAAATACTTAATATTAAGGGTATTTTTATTTATATTTTATTTATATTTTTAAATACTACCCACAGCTATACAACACACGGACAATGGCAGTTTGCTGGCCAACAAGGTGGCTTAGTGGCAAAGACACTTGTTGCCAAGGTTGATAGATAACCTTGCTTTGACCCCAGGGCCCACATGATATAGGGAGAGAACCAACTACTCTACCTTGTCTTTTGACCTTCATATGCATTTGGCACACATGAGCCTCCCTCCCCATGACACATATGCACATAAATGTTTCTAAAAAGCAAAGAGAATGGTTGTTTACATGTTTCCTACTGCTACACAATTACATAATTATAAAGCTAGTGACTGAAGACAACAGGAATGCATTACCTTATAGTTTTGAGGGTCTGAAATCCAAAATGAGTCTTAGTACCACAAAAAAAGATGAAGGCAGAGCTGTGCTCCCTCTGGAGGCTCTAGGAAACCCCTTTTCAGCTGCTAGCTCTTGGGAGCTATTCCTTGGCTCCAGGCCTCCTATCTTCAAACCAGCAAAGCCTGGTTGAGTCTTTTTCTCCTGCTACCATTGCCACCTGTCATGCTTCCTCTACTCCACTTACTAGACCCTATAATGATGGGGGGGGGGGGGTCTACAGAGATAATCTAGGATAATCAAGTTTTAGACCACACAGTGGTCTTAATTTCAATCACTCCCGAATTCCCTCATGTTTGTTACGTTATGTATTCAAATTCCAGAGGTGAAGACACAGCCACCTTTGAACCTTCCTGGGCTGTCATTCAGCTCACCATATGTACAATTAGTTTTTCCTCTGGCTTTCTTTAGAAGCCCACAGCCAATCATCCGTCCCTGAGACTGCAGACTGCTCACATGCACACTATTCCAAGCGTCTTCATCTTTCACGGTTTAATAACACCCAGTTTCTTCACAGCACTCCATGGCGACGTCAGCGCACAATGTAGAGTGGCTTTCCAAAACATATTTTAAACCACAACCAAAAAACC